CTTCCCTGCTGCAGCAGTGTAAGGGTGCAGGCACTAGGGGGTAAGGGAGGTGGGGATGTAGAGGCAAAACTGTAACCCCTTGTGGACTGCAGATTGCCTGTGGGCTGCCAGTTGGACAGCCATATCTTAGTGATCAGAAGCATAGTCAATTTTGCAAAGGTATTAAGTGTCATGTTGTTTTACTAGCCTGGGCTTTTGATAATGGGAAGACTATCTGCTGGTGTTAATAGTGAACTCGTTTCTATTTTATACACTAATTAGCACTTTTTAAAAATTGCATAAGCAGAAGTGTCTTACATTGAACCTAACTGTATTGTAATTTGGCAACAGAGTATATAAGAAACTGGCTACCTTTTTAAGGTGCATATTTACATTTATATTAAATACAGGGCTTCAGATTCTGGCACATAGTTGTATAGCTTCAAACAACAATCCTTGTTTCAGTGGAGGCTTTTTCCCTTTTTCAGAGAAAGTCCTGCCCTCTGCCTTAAAGAATGAACACAAACCTCTTCAGTCCCTTCCCACATTTGCGAAGCCAACAACAGCCTTGCAGACGTTCAACAGTGCAATATTGACTCCCATGAGCAGCAACAACAGCACAGGTTTCCTGCGGAACCTACTGAACTCCTCCGGAGGAAAGGTATCCCAGGACTCTGGCATTACTTTACTTCTCTTGTGGTTGTGAAGCCAGATGTTCCAGTTTTCTCCAGCAGTGCTGCTCTAATCTCACAAGGCATGTGCCACAGTAAATAAACAAGGAAAAGATAATTTAGTTGGAGGAATTAGATTTATCTGTCGGATGCATTCACACTGCAGGCCCCCATTTCAGCCTTTCTGGAGTACAGCCAGTGACCCACACTGCCATTAATCCTTGCTTTGTAAAGGACTTCGAGCCATGCAGTGCTTCTAGACAGCCCCTAGTTGAGAGATGCAGCCCATTCACTGATTAATGTGCATTCAGGCAGTGTCTGAGAGCTTTCCAAAAGAATCTTCAACTAGATCTGAGTTTGGCTTCTACTTGAGGGCAATCCCCTTGAGTAAGCAGCATGGATTGTAGGCTGCTCAACTCCATGTATGCAGGTATAAAGTGTATGTAATATGCTTACTTCTGAAATAGTGGATTGAAAGCTCCCTGGGCTTCACCAGTGAAACCTCACTGACTTCCATGCAGTAAGAGAAATAAATCCTTGCTAGATGCCATACCTCATGGACTTCTGCAGCTTTGCTCAGGTGGAACTAAGATCCAAATTTTACTTATGCTAAAATACTGTAGAGGGAAACTAAGGTGTATTGGGAATGTTTAGGAATAGCATATCTTAGTTGAACCTTCCAGCCCAATGCAAATGACCTCTTGAGGTCCATTCAAGCTGTGGAAGAAATCAGACTTCATGTTGTGGTTGAATCAGAACTGACAGAGCCAGCTTTTCTTTATTTAAGGCTATACTGTGATCACAGGGAGAATTCCATACAGCAAGGGGAATCACCCACTTGTCTGTTTCAAAGGATTTCTCGAACTGTATAAGTTTACAAGCATATTTATACTTAAGACAGAAAAAGAGGAAAAAAATGTGACCTTGGAGAAACAACACAATAGTAAATTACACAGAGACATACAGACAGTTTACTTAAAGAAAACATCCATGCACAGGGTAATATATCAAGACAAAACAAGGCATGCAGAATTCCTTATCTCGGAACATATAACTGAAATAAGCAGTATCAGCACTTCTGGTCTCTGTCTGGTTTCCTAGTCAAGCAGGCCAGGAGCCCAACCAAATCCACTACCACACAGCCCTAGGATTCTTCTGAGAGAAGAATATTCTGTTCCCTACCCAAAGTATAACTCTGGGCTTAGGTGAAAAGGTTGGGAAGTGAAAAATGTGTTGGCAAAAACACAACTGCAGTGTTACATTTTTTGCAGAACAAACAGCATTTTGACAAGTGGCAAGACAGCACTGAGGCAAATGTTAACATCTTTTCCTTTTCTCTTACTAAATTCAGACTGAGAATGGCCTCAAGAATACACCCAAAGTCCTTGATGATATTTTTGCCACTTTGGTGCAAAATAGAACAGTTACAGATGTGCCTAAGAAGCCTCAAGGATTGACTATAAAGCCTACCATAATGGGCTTTGATACTCCCCACTATTGGTTATGTGATAACCGCTTGCTGTGTCTCCAAGATCCTAACAATGAGAGCAACTGGAATGTCTTCAGGGAATGCTGGAAGCAGGGGCAGGTAATGTCTTATACACATTGACTGCTTACAGACATTAAAAAACCCAGTGCTTTACTTTATACTTGGTGTGCCCCCGTGTTGAGCCTAGCACATGCCTAGAAGAGGTATTGCATTAGTTGGACCCGGCTTGCCCAATGTCTGTATAATCAGGTGCTTTAGTGGGGATTTTTTGGCACTTTTTTATCTAACAGCTGATTGAATCAGCTGTTAGATGTAAACACCAAAAAGCCCCAGTGAAGTGCCCAATCTACAATCTATACAGACATTGCAGAGCCAGGTCAAAGTAATGTGCTGTTTCTTCCAGTAAACCGGGGGGGGGATCGTCTTGTGGTGAGAGGGGTAATATTGCCTGCCTAGGTTTTATAATAATAAAATCACTGGTCTCTGAGCACGAGTCACCAGAAAGATCTTTAGGAAATAGTTTCTAGTCATAGAGCCTACAACTTCTCAGAACCAAGGCTGAACATCTGGCAGTGACTGGTATTTCCCTTCACCCTTTCTGTCTAGTTCTGCTGCTTTGTCAGAAAGCATTGTGGGTATAATAATCCCTAACTGTCTCTGTCATATGGCTGTTAAGTACATTGAGTAATATGAAATGCCTTGATCTTTAGAATTTAGTTAATTTATCCATTAAAATATCCTGTGCATTTTATTTTGATACATCTTATTGAAACAGATTGGTGGCCCATATTGTGATTGTTTCCCAAACCAGTCCATCACAAGGCTTTGTACCATTGCTTATAAGCAACTACAGCAGTTTGTTTTAATGTTACGTGCATGTTACTGGGGAGTAGATTATATACCAAAATACTTGCCACACTCTCAGAAGTCTGAGAGCTTGAACCTCTTTGGTCTTACTTCTGAAAAACTGATTGCTTGGCAGGCAGGCTCTCAGACATTGCCCTGTGACCATCTTGTGTCTCATGGAATACCTTTTTCTTTGGAAGAGTCTAAATGTATTTTGAAAGGTTTGCTGCTTCTGTCTTCTGAGGCAACATAGGAGTGAATTAAGATGTTGCTACTGGTGTCTTCTCTGTTTCCCTCCAGCATGGAGAGTGTCACTTAAATCAGCACAGTATTTAAACTTCTCTCTCTTGGAAGTGAACAACACCCCTGAAAACAAGAACATGCTACATAATTCTAGCATAGCAGCCTAATTAAACAATGCCTACTCACTCATACTCTAAAAATACCAGTGTCCAGGAAAAAAATTGAGAGAAGATAACAATTTATCACCCTAAAAGAAAAAATAGTCTTTTTTCCAGATTAAATTTGGCACGGTCTATAGCATTTGTTGTCATAACTCCTATACTCTGAAGCCTTGCCTAAATGTTTATGTAGTTTTAAAAATCAAAGCCTCTTTACAAAGAATATTTTTAATTTTCCTTTAATGGTGTTTTTTTTTTTAAATAGCCTGTAATGGTGTCTGGAGTGCATCACAAATTAAACCCGGAGCTGTGGAAACCAGAGTCCTTCAGAAAGGAATTTGGCCAGCAGGAAGTAGATCTGGTTAACTGCAGAACCAATGAAATTATCACAGGAGCTACAGTAGGGGACTTCTGGGATGGATTTGAAGACATTCAAAGTATGCAATATGAATTCCCTTCTTTGCTATTGTGTTGTACAGAGGGTACTAAAAACAGAGGCATGACTGATGGACCTGGTATTCAGGGCAAGCCACTCCTGCAGGGGTTAGCATCACTGGCATTTATACCAGGCAGTGTGTTTTGCTAATTACCCAAAATTTGGCAGCAAAAGGAAAAGGAGACAATTAGGCTTAATTTGTCACACCACCACAGCTAGCCACACCATTGCCATCTCCCTCTGCAGCAGTGGCCTCTCCTGGAAGTAAGTTGGCACCAACCCCATGTGGGTTCCTTTATGGTGACTGCCAGACCCTCTGCTTCTATTTTGGTATCTCTTCCCCCTCCTCCTTAGCGCCCAGGGACTTGTGCCCTACCCACCTACCTGTAGTTGTGCTACTGGCTAACAGCATGATAAACAGGCACTTCTATTTTTGCTGCTGGCTTTAATCTGTACTGGCAGGCTTTGGGTGAAAGAATAAAACCAACTTACAATGGTCAGTTTGCTGTTGTAAACTGTTTGTTTACAGTTTACAAACAAACAAAGTAGTTTGTTTTCTGTAGAGACACAGCTATCCAGAGCACCTTGCTACTGGATGGGGGAGCTGGCAGTAACCTGTTGGCATTTAGAATGGGCTGTGGAATGACAGACTCAAGTTTGAAGATGCATGGCCCAAACACTGGTGTATAGTTCTTCCTGATTCTTCCAGTGGGTAACACTTTTACACCAGAATAATGATTTACAGTGGTAAAGTGCTGGGTGTCCCATGTCTGCTCCACATTTTATGCTGGTACAAAAGTAGATTACACTGGTAAATGTATGTGTGTGGACCCTTTACTTGTGGTGGGATAAGCTAGATCAGGGTTTTTCAACCTGTGGGTCACAGGAATATGTGAAAGGGTCATGAACAAACTTTAAAAATGGGGTTTCTTTTAAAGGAGAAAGATGTGGGAAACTGTGGCTTTTCCCTTGCAGGCTGGCAGAGTTGCAGCCTGCAAGGGGCTGCTTGCCCCACATGCCCACCCACTGCCCCATATGCTGTGGGGGCTGGGCCCTGGGGGCAGCAGGTCAGGAGTGAGGGGCACTGGGTTGGGACTGGCCATTGAAGTTTACAGAGAGGTCCTGGTACAAAAAGGTTGAGAAGCACTGGACTAGATGACCTCCGGAGGTTCCTGTGAACCCTAATTTTCTGTGAACGTATGATTCTGTTATCTGCTCTGGCTGGCTTGGAACTGCTAGGAAGATTTTTCCATAGCAAAGTGCACTGATGTGATTTCCA